AGGCCAGCCTAGGGCTACATAGTGAGACCCTACTTCAAAAACAAACAAGCAAACAAACAAAACCCCAAAAGAAAATATAATCCCTGAAATGAAAATTTTACTGGATGGGATTATCAGCAAAGCTGACACTGAAGTTTACATCAGCGAACTTGAAGACGTACATGGCCCAGAATCTACAAAATTAGACAGAGAGAAGAAATGACATGGAGAAAAAAGAACTATGCATTTGCAAAGTCTGTCTGCCAGAATGGATTAGCACAATCAGGACTGAATTCCAGCTTGGGTGGGCTGACATCTTTGGCTTCCATGTGGCTGGGCCCTGAGGAAAAGATGTTCGGACTGCCCCTTAGAGGAATTTGCATGAAAATACCAGTTTTTCTGGATGTAATCTCAGTCCAGACCTGTGGAAGCTGGGTGTGGTGATTCATATTGGGAAGGGCAGGGAGAGTTGGAGGCCAGCCTAGGCTACATGGCAACAGAGACCCTGTCTCAAAAACAAACAAAAACAGCTACTCAGGAGGCAGAGATTATGAGGATTCTGCCAGCCTAGGAAGAAAGTCAGTGAGATCCCATCTCAACAAATAAGCCAGGTGTGCCAGGTATGTTGGTGGGCGCCTGTAATCCCAGCTATGACAGGAGACATATGTAGGAGGATTGTAGCCTGAGGCTGGCCCCTGGCAAAAATGTGAGACTCTATCCAATAACTAAAGCAAAAAAGAATTAGGGGTGGGATAAAAAAAAAAGAAAGAAATCCTGTAGAAATGTAATTGACTTGCAAAAGGTGTCCCCTACCCCCCACCCAGAAAAATAGCCTGACTGCAATCACCTACAATGAGTGAGGAAGACCCTTAAGTCTTGGTGGCTGGGGAGAAGGGTGAATGAATAGTCCCAGCAATACCTCTCTACCTTCTCAGCTGCTAATAAATTAAATTTTTAAAAAATATGGTACAAGTTCAGGTGGTCAAATATCTGTGTAATTGGGGTCCCAGGATAGAAAAGAGAAGGAAAGCACAGAAAAATATTTGAAGACAAAATTTTCCAAACTTGATAAAAATTATAAACTCACAATCAAAGAAGTTTAAAAAACCCCAGGTGAGTCACACATGTACACAGACACACACACAAGGATTACAATTAATTTGTGGAAACTCAGTGATAAGAAAATCTTTAACGCAGCCAGAAAGACACATCATTATGTTCCTAGGAAAAAGAATAACCATGATGTTTTCATCAGAAATTATGCACGCCAGAAGACGATGAATGACAAACTCCCCCTCCTTAGAAAGGCCTTCCCTGGCCATCCTTCCAGATGAAGCCTCCCCTCTCCCCACTGCACACTCCCTCGGTGCTCTTCCTTGATTGAACTGTTCACTCAGTCATGGACATGTTCCCCTTGAAATGCAAGCCCCAAGAGGCCAGGAGCATTGTCTTATCCCTGCTTCCATCCCCACTCAATAGTGCCTGGTATTTACTAGGTTTTCTAGAAATACTTGGTAAATGAACAACGTCATCCAGGAGGAAAAGCAGAATGACCAGGAGAGCAGCAGAGTGCCTAGAACCACTAGCAATGCAGCACAGCTGAAGCACAAAGTTCACAGGAGAGTGGGGAGGAGGTAAAGCTGGAGGGTGAGACTGAGTCCAGGCCACGGGGGATTTATAAGACATGCCATAGAACTTGAGCTTCATTCCGTGGGTAGAAATTTTACACAGAGGAGTGTTAATGTTCTATTTGTATTCTGGAAAAATTACTCTGGCATCCCCTTGTGCCAGATGGTTCCCTACAAGAACAGGGAAAGGATGAGAGATAGCACAGTGAGAAAGGGCAGATCTAGAAAACTTTCAGTAGGTGGAGTCTACAGGTGTTGGTGACCAGCTACATGTGAGGGGTGAAGGTTTCCACCTGAGTGATTGGGTGGATAAGGAAGGCAGGAAGCAAAGCAGGTATCAGAGAAAAGAGATGGTGGATTGGTTACCTATTGCTGTGTAACAAAAAAGCAGCTTAAAACAACAAACATTCACTATCTCCCAGACCTGTGGATCAAGAAGCGAGGCATTGCTGATTTGCTTCCTGGTTCACAGTCCCTGGCAAGGCTGCAACCCACAGGTTGGCCAGGGCTGCAGCCACCCTAAGGTCTGACTGGGGAAAGATTCCTCTTCAATTTCACTCACAGGGCAGTCCTCAGGTCCCTCCTGGGGGGGCTGGCAGGAGAATTCACTTCCCTGCTGCCTGGGTTTCTCCACTACATGGCAGGTGGCTTCCCTCAGAGTGAGAGAAAGCACCCCAAGATATAACCTAATATTGGAAGTGACTTCTCATCACTTCTGCCCTACTCTCTATGCTGGAAACAGGCCACTACTCATTCATAGCTCCCTGAACTTGTGGAGAAATACAATAACGCTGACCTTCCTTAAACACTAGGTGTCAGGCACTGGTGCAAAACATGTTCCATTGCATGGTCTCTGTTTGATCCTGTCTCTACTACGAGAGTGTATACACCAAGAGGACAGGGACTTTCTAGTTCATGGTGAGATTTCCAGCAGCTAGAATAGTCTGTGGACCAGAGGAAGCATTCGGTAAATATTATTGATGAATTCAGGTTAGTAAGCTCTATTCATATTCCCGTTTTACAGACAAGGAAACAGGCTCAGAGCCACTGAGTAACTTGCCTGGCCCTCAGTTAAAGGCATGCCTAGAATGCATGCGTCCTGTGACTCCAAAGCACACTAGTGCCATTTCTTATTGATGAAGTTGGTAGAAAACTGGAAAGAGAGCTGCATATTACCTTCAAATGGTGAACATAGTCCTAGGCACTACTTCTCACATCCATTATCAGTGACCCCGCAAGGCAACTATGTTGTACTTATTTTTCAGATGAGGTAACTGAGGCTTAGAGAGGCTAAGAACCTTACCTAAAGTCATCTAGCTAGTGTGAGAGACTGAGCTGAGATTGGAGCCTCTGTGTGTCTCACTCCAAAGCACTCCTGTGTAAGACCCAACACATTGAAAAAAGAAACAAACAAAAAAACACATACGCCAAAGTTTGGATTCTGGGAAGTAGGACATTGGTGTGTGCAGGCCTATATGGCAGATGAGGTTTCTACACCTACTTCTCTAGCTCCAGCATTCCTACTGCTTTGCATTCATTCATAGACGTGTGTGTGTGTGTTGGAACTGGGTTTGAACTCAGGTCTTCACACTTGCAAAGCAGGCATTTACAAAGCAGGCACTCTACCGCTTGAGCCACACGCCCAGTCTAGCTTTGGATTCAAAGTCCCCTAGCCATGGAACTGAGAAGCATCCATCAGGCTGAGAAAGTCCAAGTGCAGACTTCTAAGATGTAGCACAAAGTAGGGGCTGATGACTAAGGATGACAAATGTTGGCTCTGTAGCCTGTCCTTCTCCATAGCCTCATCCATATCACATGTCTCAGACCAGGTCTGAAGTTAGACTGGTGATGTCACCAGAGTCTCTTAAAGGCCTCATCCTTCATATTCACTTGTCATATATTATTAAGCAGATCTGTAATACATGTGATATTTTCCACTGAATTCCCTCCCATTCCTTCCTTTTCATGACTAAGGAAAGAAAAATAGTGTGAAGATGACTTTTCCCATTCTTAGTGCCCTTCATTGAAACATAACTTCACCTTGAATCATTCCCCAAAATGGTCATTTGGGCTTTGATTTCATTAATATAGATGAATCTACAATTTAATAATTATCATTTAACTAATGCATATTCTATATAGACAAGTAAATGGGTTCCCTTGTCTTTTCTTCTGGAGGCCACAGAGGAAAGGGAATCTACAACCATATCTTTTTCTTTTTTTCCTTTTATCCTCCACATTATTTCTTGAGACTTTAGGGTTTTATCAATTATATTAGAAACTTTCTATGGTATCAATTCTCCAGAGAATGAGAGAATGAGAGATAATGAGAGTCCTTTGGAGACTCTGAAGTCCTTATAGTCAGAGTCTGAATCTCATTAGGAGCAGTGATCTCAAGGATGCAAAATTATCCAGGTGAAGGGCTGTTTGAGGCAGAGCGAGCAAGAGGCAAGGTAGCTGGCTGGGTGGTAGGGCTTGCCAGGAATTAAAAGAAACCAAAGTGGCTAGAAGGGAAAGACTCACCCAAGGCAGGCAGCACAGGCGTGCAATAAATGGTTCTGGAGTGCAGGTCTAGGGCCAGCTTCACAGGTGTGTGATCTGTGGAGTCACTGCATAGGGCCCCATGCTCCAGAGGGCTTCCAGCCTGCTTCTATGCTCTGATATGGCTACCTTTTTACATCAAACTGGTGGCATACCCAAGTGATCAGTCCTCCTGGGGTGTGAAAGGCAATTCTGTCACTTACTAGGTGGGCAGTGTTGGGGGAAATCCACAGGTCTTTCTGAGACTCCATCATGTCATGAAGAATAAAGGAAATCACAAGCCATCAGTGCATTGTATAGTCATTGGTACCTAGTAGGTGCCTAATAAATATTCCCTTCCCTTAACTAAGAGGGTATATCAGCGTCACCTGGGGGCTCTGGATGGGAGCGTGTGCTAGGTTGGGGCTCCTTGGCATACACCAGGTTAAGAAAACGCAGACTTAGATTTTCAGAGATCTTGCTAAGAAGCAACTTAATAGAGAAGGGCAGAAGAAAAGGCAGAGAGAGAAATTGATGGACTACTACTAATCCTTAACATAATAAAAAACCTGTTAAAGAGGAAAGAGGTCATCATTTTACAGCACTTGGGAAGACACAGATAGTGCTGAAATGCACTATGGGAATGCATCTCATTATCGAGGTTTCTATGAAATTTTCTGCTATTCATTTGGTCTGACAAGTACACCCAGAGGACCAGGGGCTGTGGAGAAGAGAAGCCAGGGTCAAGGCCAAGGTTGGGGACCGAGTTTGAATTTATTTTCCCCTTAATGACCCTAATACCATACTCAAATTCCTGAAAAGATATTGTGGCCAGAGGGAGTAATTCTGAATTATGTTTTTTTTTCTGCTAAGATTCTAGGCTTTGACATTCTTCTGATGAAAAACCTGAAGCCTATGCTACTTGAAGTAAATGCAAATCCCAGCATGAGAATTGAACACGAGCACGAGGTAGGTATCCTGAACCTCTTGGTGATCATACTGCTGTAAAACCAAGCGCTCCTACTTTTGAGGTGCCCACCTGGCTACACAAGTCTCCATGTTCTCCAATTTTCCCAGCAAAGTTCTGTTCGAGTCAAGTAATTTTAGTTCTGTTGAGCTCCAAACAGTCTATTAATATAAGACCTTTCCGACCTATGGTAATTTCCCAGCATGCCGTTCTTCCCATTTTTAAGGTCTGGAAATTTAGAAGCAGCTGAGTCTTTCCATCAGTTTTGACATGAACTAATTAGTTAGCCTCAGGAGATGAACTAATTGAAATTCTATGAATATGATTTAGCCATGTAGACATGCTCGAATCACTAAGATAAATAGTACATTTAACAGCGGTTATATTTTTTTCTGGACCCCCTCCCCAATAATGCACTTAAAGAACTGGAATGAAATATACCCCCAGATTAGTATTAGGTTTCAGGGGGATTATCTGAATTCTTTAATTTTCTTCACCACTTTCCACAATTCTAGCTTTTGTACAGTGAGCATTGATAATTTTGGCAACCCAAAAAGCATAGTGTTATTATTTCTCTTCAGGTAATTTGTTAATTTATAAAAGGAAATCCGACATTTTTAGGGTAGCATAAAGGGATCACTTAAAAATTCTCTTCCGTAGGTTAGCACAGGCAAAATGTAATAGTATGACCACTTGAGCTAGCTGGAGGTGGCACATTGATAGTCACTTGGTACTAGATTACCGTCCTACCTTAACACTGAATCCTTACCTATTCAAGCTTTCTCCAGGGATATTTGAAAATATCCCCAGCCTGGTCGATGAAGAAGTGAAAGTGGCTGTGATCAGAGACACCCTGCGCCTCATGGACCCACTTAAGAAGAAAAGAGAGACTCAGTAAGTATTTTTTTAAGCCATTCATTTCTATCAACTATTTCCTAATGTTGCTTTGGGTTCTAGGCAGGTGAGGTAATTTCTTGGAACCTGTTAACAAGACTTATATATTAAACAATCAAATAAATCACATTTTCATTTTATGAGTAGCTGCCAAGCAACAGTGACTCAAAAATCAGGATAATCTGACAATTGGGGTTGGGTGATGAATTTCTAACTGATTATTACCCAAACCCAGAAAGAATCTTCTGAGTTCCCACTCTGCCTTGGTGATCGGATCTCCACTGATCACAGTGTGTCTCTTTGAAATCCTCAGGCACAAAAAGAGTGAAATAAAATGCCTCCTTTTTCTTTTCTTTATGCTCTTGCAGTGTCAACTTTTAATTTCAAAATTTGCAGAGCCCATGTAATGAATTTTTGTCATTTCTATCATGTTTATGACAATTACAATTCTTCTTCATCTCCGGCCACTCTGGAGGCCCTTACATTGGGACATTGGCAGGTATATGTCCCTGTCTATTCCTCCACCAAATCGCTTCAGAAATGAATGACCTTTTACTTGGATATTTCATTTATTCTATATTTTAACCAAATCCCAGGCTCTTACAAAGTAAGGGTTCAGTAAATATCATTGTGCCTATGTTTTAGTCAGAGAAACCAAAGACAGACATTTCAAATAGCACTTTTCATACCCCTGACAAATCAGAATGACCCAAATGCTCCCAGACATGTAAGCATATTCAGGCTATAGCTTGAGAGTAGGAGGAATGCTGACTTCCCAAAGCAAGTGATGTTCTGCGGGTCTGTACCAAGGCTCCTCACCAACTGGGCTCAAGCCCAAATACTGCTGCAGTCTCCCGACAGGAGTGTTTCTCACCCTTGGCTGTACAGTAAAACCATCTGGGGAGCTTTCAAAAACACCAGCCCAGGGTCCCTGCCTCTGGAGATGTTGATTTTATTTAGCCTGGGCTGGAGGCCCAACCATGGACATTTTTAGGTTCCCTAAGGGTTCTACTGAGCAGCCAAGGTTGAGCCCCACTGCCTGCAGGACTTCTCCTATTTCCATGCAGGCTGGATGGTGCCCGTGCAGCTGAGCTCTTCCTAAGAGCATTTAACCAGCTGAGGCACAGGTTGTCGTTGTGGGCACGATCCCACTGAGGACATTCATGGGTGGTTTGTACGCGCCAATCCTACAGGTATGGTTGCAATCAATGAGTGCTCCAAAGTGGCAGTGAATCAGGGCTGCTGAATCTTCTAAGCAACTCTGTGAGGAGGGAGGCGAATGAAGTGCCCACTGCTAAGTGCTTGCAACTACTTTTCTAGCCATCCCTTAGGAAAAGCGATGGTTATAGTTGCAATTTGGTGAGAATAATTGCAACAAAGCTCACCCTCAAAAATCTGTCCTCTAATGGTGATTGATCTCACCAGCAGAGATGAGGTCCTGAGAGACTGTGTACATGGGTGGCTTTCTATGTTAGTATGGAAATAGGTACAATCTATTTTAGGGTGATCTTGACATATTGGCATTCTGATTCCATTGGTGAGAATAAGACGTTCAAAACCCATTGTGTGGCCTGGACCTTCTTAACTTCTGCCACCAAATGTGAAGAACTGGAAGGGTTCCACTGTATTTCACGTTAAACAGCATTGAAGCAAATTTGCTGTCTTTTTCTTGTTCTCCTTGTTTTCTTTTACCTACACCCATGTAATTCCTATGAGCTGCAGATCTGAAATTTAATAGCAGTGGGGCACAGGACCATTGATTAGGAAGGATGAAAATGGCATTTTATAATTTATCAAGTCATGAGTAGAAGCATCTCATTTTTAATTTAAAAAGCATTGACTTTTTTATATTGATATCTAGGAACAGTTAGAACTTCGAGAACCTGACTTCAATTCTGATGTAGAAATCCTTTTATTTCACCCTTTTCTTCCCTACAACACAAGGGTGTGTATTAATAGCTAAATGCTATTTACTGATATTTTTCCTTAATTTCATTATTTATTTTATTTTTACCCAGCAATGATTATCCATGAAAGCACTTTGTAATCTGCAAAGTACATTTATATGCAAAAGTTACTGTGTTAGTTTTGATAACTTTACAATGCAAAGGACAGACTGAAATTATTCTCAACTCCTTGTCCAGAAATGCTTCAGAATAGCTTGAAAAAGCACTGGATTTATGTCCACAGAAAATGCACAGTGCTAAGTCCTGTGAGTCCAATTCCAATACCACGTCACTCTAACTAATTAGATGATGTCACCATAGACTTCCAGTCTTGAAATTGCTTTGAGAAGCAGAGTTTATTTTTTCTCTCTTTTTTCTTCTCTCTGTCTCTGTTTCTTGTTTCTCTCTCTCCCTTCTCCCTCCTCCCCCATCTCTCTCTTGGTCTTTGATGTAGGTTTTCATTGTGTAGCCCTGGCTAGCCTTGAACTCACAATCCTTCTTCCACAGCCTCCTGAGGGCTGGGATTACTGACACGTACCACCATATTTGGCTTTAAAAGCAAGAGTTTCCTGCGTTTACATAGGATCTGGCCTAACCCTTTTTGAAACAAATGGTATTGTGGCTTTTTCCTCCAACTTGTTATTAAAAATGGTTCTGAAGCATCCTTCGGTTCCTTCTTGGGGACTGTTTGTCATGAAGAGACTTCCCCACACAAACTGAAAAAAAAAAAAAAAGAAGACACCCTGAGTCCCTCGGCTCTGAGACGTCTCTGGAAAGGTGCAGAGGAGACATTAGAAGGACACCACCAGACGTGTGTCCACGCGTCATGCCTCCCCATCATCCCTGGGTCTTGTAACCCAGGTCAGTTTCTTGGTGAGACTGAGGGTAGTTGTCAGGCATTCCATCCTGGCATAGCACTTTCTCCTGAGCTAAAGAGACTGAAAAAAAAGAAGATGCCCCATTAAAATCCCAACTCTGTGGTCAGCTGATGGCGGCTTGGGAATGTCACATAGTTGTGTTGAGTCTTGGTATCCTTTTCTATATAATGGGGGGATGACATTTAAATGAAGCAATGAGAAAAACTAACATATTGTAGGCTGCTTCTAATGCTTATAAATTAACAGTAGAATTATCTAAAGACATGAAACAAACAAATGAAAAATAATGCTGTGTTGTTATTTTCTTTTCTGGTATACTTAAAGAAGAATTTTTATTTATGTATTTGACATTACTGGGGTTTGAATTCAGAACCTCACACTTGATGGGCAAGTGTTCTACAACTTGAGCCACATTCCAGCCCTTTCTGTATTTAGTTATTTTTCAGGTAGGATCTAAAGTTTTTGCCCAGAGGCCAACCTCAGACCTCACTCTTCCTCCCATGTGGGTGAAATCAAACATGGACCACCATACCCAGCTTATTAATTGAGATAGGGGTCTCACTAACTTTTTGTCTATGCTGGCATCGAACTACAATCCTCCTGATCTCTGCCTCCTAAATAGCTGGAATTACAGATGTAATCTGTACAGATGTAATCTGCACCCAGCCTGAATTTTGAATTTAAAACCAATGACTTATCCTAAGACTGAAGTAGTGAGCTCATCATGGACTGGAATTGACATTGGAGCTAGTGGCCAATGTGGGGGGAGGCGCGGGTCTGTTTTCAAGTAGCAAGGTGTCACTGGACCTTTATCTGGCAGTTAGAAGAAACTACCTTTGGGTTTTGAAGGAGGAAGACAGCTGTCACACAAAAACTATTTTGATTATGGAAATATTTCATAATATCTAGGGACTATTGATTTTCATATGAGGGTCCCATGGAGGCACTGTAGACACAAGGGAAGTGGGAGGCTAATGGGGCAGGATTTAAAGCATCATCTATATGGAGGTACAACTCATGTATTGTAAAACTAGCCATTTAAAAGTGAGGGTGGCAGTATAGCTCAGTGATAGAGCAGTTGCCTAGCGTATGCAAGGCTCTGGGTTCAATCTCCAGCATCCCCAAAAAAGGGTTCATTCAGTTCAGTGGCCTTTACTATATCCACAACATTGTACAGCCATCACTTCATCTCGCCCTAAACTATTTTGTTACACTAAAAAGAAAACCCATCGCCTTAAGCACTTACTCCCTATTCTCCCATCCTCCATCCCCAGCAACTACCCATCTGCTATTTCCCAATTTCCTGTTCTGGATATTTTCTATAAATAGAATTACACAAAATGCAGTCTTTTGTGATTGACTTCTTCCATTTAGTGTACTGTTCTCGAGATTCAACCTGTTGTAGCATGTGTCAGCATTTCATTCCTCATTATGGCTGAGCACTATTCTGTTATATAGACTAGCTATAGCCCATTTTAGTATTCTATTGTCAGTCGATGGACACTTGGGTAGAAGGCATTTGTTTTTCAACCAGAGGGGTGCTGCAGTGATGTAGCTCATATTTTGCTCTCTATGTTAGGTTTTGCTTGAGGGGAAAGTGCCTTTTCTGCTACAAGATGTTATTAGAACCTCTGATTTAATCCAGTGCTTCATTTTATTGATAGAAGCACAGATCTTAGAAAATCATCATGCCAGTCAGCTCCCTGGTTCAAGAGTCCCTCTTGTAGGCAGACGTCCCTGAAGAGCAGCAGCAGGTGCCCTGCTGGCCAGTGAACTTGGCATCAGCTGAGGCTGGGCTGAAGTCCTTAATCTCTGATCAGCATGTAAAATGGGAACCCGGCCTCTTCCTGGCTGGATTGTCGTTGGTCATGCTATGAAATGACACATGTGAGAAAGCCTCATAAAATCTGAGCATTACACAAACATTGGTTCTTAGGTCACCAAGTGGTCAATCAGACTTTAAAATTTTGCTGATAGTGACAGCTAACCTGCCCGCTTCTGAGGCAGCTGGCTGAGTTGTGGACATGGTGGTTCTGTCTTCCCTGAACCACACATAAGAAAACTTAGCTGGACAAGGTGTATAAGTTGGCCCAAGTCACAAATCTTGGTAGCAGCAAAGTAGAAACTGGGAGCCGGGTCTCCTGATTTCTACACCAATGTTTACTCTACCGGCCGC